GCCCGCCCGGCCCGGCCGCCCCGGGGACCGGGGGAACCGCCGCCCTCCCGAGCCCCAGCCGGTGCGGGGCTTGGGCGAGTATTTCACCCTCCCCAGCCCTCATCTGTGGGAGGAGGAGCGCTTATCTTCACGCCGTCCAACAACCAAGGGGTGACTTGTCTTCCAGGACCAGGGGCGAGCACCCCTCTCCGTGACCCGGCTGCGCCCCGCCGCCGCCGCGCAGCCCCCGCCTCCCTCCCGCCCCTCAGCTGCTCACACCAGGCGCGCTCTCCTGCCAGCACCTGTTCCTCTCCCAGACTCCGCTCTGACCGCGGCCGCAGCGCCGGCCCGCACCTAACGTCACAGCTTTCACTTTTCTGTCTTCAGTACTGGGCATTGACCTCAAGAGCGCTCTACCACTGGGCTGCATCCCCAGCCCTGATTTTTTGAGACAGCTTATCGCTGAATTGCCCACACCGGACTCAAACTCGCAATCACCTCAGTCTCCCTAGTCCTGGACCGCATCTTTTTCGTTACTCTCTCCCTCACTGAAATGCAGCTCTGTGAGGATAAGTTTCGTTTTGTTGTTTGGCTCCCCACACCCCTAGCCTACTGGGGATTGAACCCAGGGCCTACAGGCCGAGCTACATCTCTCCAGACCTTCTTCTTTTATTTTGAGACAGGGTCAAACTCAGTCGCTACATTGCCCAAACTGGGTTTCAATTTGCAATTCTCCTGCCTCAGCTTCCCAGAGCACTGGGATTACAGGCACGCAGCACCGAATTTTGAGATGAGGTCTTGATAGTTTGCCCAGGCTGATCTGAAATTCTGTGGGTTCAAGTGATCCTTCTGCCTCAGCCTCCTGAGTAGCTGAGACTGCAGCCCAGCCCCCGCACTAGAATGGGATTGTTAATAGTACAAATGGTTTATCTCTGTACCTAGCTCAGTGCCTGCCTCATGGGTTATATACAATAAATATTTCCTAAATAAGTGAATGAGCCACTGGCTAATGTTGAACACATGGAACTGTGTTCAACATTAACTTTATCCCTGACTGGAAGTTATAAGAAGATAAACAGGTATGCAGTTACATTTTAATTTTTGCAGAAAAGATCAGAAAACATAACCAAGGCATATATTTATAACAGTTTCGGAGCTCTCTTTGGCAGGTCACATTTTGGCTACCCGCTCAGCCACTGTCCTCACTGTGATAAGAGGTCTCAGAAGGTCCAGAAAGCTGCTGCACGGAAGCCCTATGAGCAAAGTACCGGGGATGGGAAATTAAGTATGAATTAGCAGTACATAGTCAGAGTGGAAGTGAGATTTTTGTGAGAAGGATTTCAAATAGCTAAAGAGAAGTGGACTCCTGGCAGATGATCTTTTATTTAAAAAAAAAAAAGAAAAGTTCAAATTCTTCCCACAGCCTGTCTGGAATACTTGGCCACAGCACTGGAGCGCGGGTGATGATACAAACACAGCCCTGTCAGAGCCAGGCTCCTTCCAGAACAGTGCTCAGCCTCTCCGGGAGAGGGCTTCCTTCCCAGTGGGTCGTTCCAGGGAAAACGGGAGAGGAGCAGCTGGAGAGGAGGCCAGGAAGGGGAAAGCTGCTTCTCCCTGGGTAGGCAGTATGGACCGCCAGGAAGTTTCATTTCTGCTAGTGCAGCAACAGCCGGGAAACGAAAGGGGCTGGGGATATAGCTCAGCGTGGAAAGTAGCTTTATCTTTATCCTGTTATCAGCAAGTCTGTAATTATTTCAGTGTTGTCGCCTAAGTGAAAATGCAGCAATCAAGAAAATGAGTACACAGGCTGCCTCTGTGGTGGTGCACACCTGTAATTCCAGCACTTGGAAGGCTGAGGCAGGAGGATTGCAGGGAGTTCAAGGCCAGGCTGGGCTATATAGTGAGTTCAAGGCCAGCCTGCACTGCATAGCAAAACCCTGTCTCCAAAAACAAAAAAAAAAAAGAAAGAAAGAAAGAAAAGAAAAGCAAGAGAAAGAGGGAAAGGTGCAGCAAATACAAAGGCTGAAAAGTCAGCATAAACAAAACTAAATTCACTGCAAAAACTCTAATATACATATTACTTGCATCTGACTATTAATGTTCTTAATAAAAAATAAATTTTAAAGGACTATTGTTTTTTCTCATTTGCTTTTTCACTTATTTATTTTTAAATTTTTATTAGTGCATGTTTGCAGTACATGTAATTTACAATCATCTTGGAGCCAGGGATATAGCTCAACGGCACAGCACCTGCCTGGCAAGTGTGAGGTCATGAGTTCAATTCCTGGTACCACAAAAAAATAGCCCTATGATGTATAATTGTCTTGGAGAGTTGGTACATGTATATAATACAGCTTATATTATAATAATATAATTTATTTAAATTCCTCCCCTCTTATTCCCCTTTCCCTGTTTTCATTCTTGTTGATATAATCTTAGCTCATGTTTATGACATATGTTTATATTCATTGAGGTTATTGGGTCCCTGCACATGGAAAATCTTTATTCTACTTATTTCCCCTCCCCCTCCCCCTTAGTCTCTCATTTGCAAGAGATCCATCTCCTTGTCCCCTTCTATCCATCTTTTATCATTCCCTTTGTTTGTACTTTGCCTCATTCAGTGAGAGACACCATACGGTATTTAAGCTTTTGTCTCTGGTTTATTTCACTCAACATTGTATTTCCCAGGTGCATCCATTTTCCTACAAATGTCTCAAATCTGTCATTCTTTATAGCAGAATAGTATTCCATTATATACAGAGACCACATTTTATTTATCTAGTCATCTGTTGATGGGTATACAGGCTGTTTCCAGAATTTAGCTATTATGAGTTGTGCTGCTATAAATACCAGTATGTATGTATTGCTGTGGTATGATGTCTTAAGCTCTTTGGGGAAGGTGCCTAAGAGGGGGAGAGCTAAACAGTCTTCCATAGTCTGGATGTGCCATGGTTTATTAATCAATTCACCTACTGAAAGATATACTGGCTGCTCCCATGTTTTGGCGATTATGAATAAAGCTGGTACAGACATCCTAGTGCAGCTGTTTGTGTGAATGTAAGTTTTCAGCTCATTTGAGTAAATACCAAGAAGTGTAGGGTAAGAATATGTTTTTTTGTTTTTTTGTTTTTTTTTGGTTTTTCTCTGGTACCGGGAACCGAACTCACGACCTTGCGCTTGCCAGGCAAGCGCTTTTGCCGCTGAGCTAAATCCCCAGCCCCGAATATGTTTAATTTTACAAGAAACTGACAAAACTGTCTTCCAGAGTACTGCACCAATGAGCACTTCTGTTTGTTCATAGCCTTGTTAGCATTTGGTATTGTCAGTGGTTTGACTTTTGGCCGTTTTAATAGTGTAGTGGTATTTAATAGTGTAACGGTCATTGCAATTCCCTAATGATGTATGATGTTAAAATATTTTCATAAATTTGTTTTTCCATCTGTATATCTTTTTTTTTTTTTGAGACAGGGTTTCACTATGAAGTTCAGGTTGGTGTTGGACTCACTTGTGTAACCCAGGCTGGCCTTGAACTTACAGTGATCCTCCTGCCTCAGCCCCCTGAGTGCTGGGATTGCGGGCGCCCACCACCATGCCCAGCTCAGTATATCTTCTTTAGTGAGGTGTTATATTGAGTTTTATATTCATTTAAAAACAATCATTATCAGGGGATAGAGATGTGGCTCAGTGGCACAGCACTTGTCTACCATGGCCAATGGTCTGTGTTTGATTTCCCAGTACTGAAAAAAAAAAAATCCCAAAACTTCTAAGACCAATAATTACTCTCAGTCTCTCAACAGAAGTGTTTACTTCATTAGCATTTAATTATGGATATGAATAGATACAGGTCTAGCATTTTATTTATGTATTTCTGTTTTCTATTTGTTTCCTCTGACATGTTCCTCCATTTTTCATTTCCTGCCTTCATGCTAAAAAATAATTTTAAGCAGGCCTAGTGATACATGCCTGTAATCCCCGCACTCAGGAGGCTGAGGCAGGAGAACTGCTGAGAGTTTGAGATCAGCCTAGGCTACATACTAAGTTCAAGGCCAACCTGAACTATACAGCCAGACCCTGTCTCAGAAAAGCAAACAAATTAAATTATTGTATTTTAATTTTCCTGTTTTTAAAGTACAGTCTTTGCTTTATGGGCATACAGGATTTTCCCCCCAGTACTGGGGATGGATTACATTTAGTAACTGACTTACAGATTAAAAAATACATCCTTAACTTTTCACAGCCCATTTGCAGTTGAAAGTGTGCTTCCTTATGTAAATTCCACAAGAAAAGTACAATTTTTTAAACAGAAAACTCACCAGATGGAGTTAACCACCAAAAGGAAATGTTAAAGGAAAGTGTAAGTAAACTTTGATATAAATCAATCAAAATTAGTCAAAATGAGTAACAGCAAAAAGATTGAAAACAAAATGAACAGTGTCCCGGGGACTTGTTAGATGATATCAAACACACGTAACTAGACTCTCAAAAGGAGAGAAAAAATGAAATAGAAAAAGTATTTGAATAAATAATAAACAAAAGCTTCTCAAATGTAATGCCAACCAAAAATTTGCAAATACAAGATACTAGACAAGCCCATTCCGAGGCATAGATAAGTCAAGCTGGTATAAACTTAAAGTCAGAAAGAGAGCAAAAAAACCCCCCAAAACACTTATACTTGGTCATTTTTCCTTGTATCTATTTCTCTGATAAAACTTCCCATTTGTTTGCTGAGATTTTGATTTAGAATAAGAAAC